GTGAAGGGCTAGAACGGGCAATCAAATTAGCTGCAAAAGTTTAGAAATACGTTAAAAAATAAATTATGATGGTCTTTCAGTGATAAAGGGTATCAAACGCCGTTTTAAAGTAATGTTTTGGTAACAGATTCAATGCGCACAGGTCCGATGATAAATTTTATCAAAGGAAACATTTCACAGTTCTGGAATTTTCCACAAAAATAGTCCTGCAGCTCTTCACAATATCACAGAGTACAGCCACCAACTAAGCACTTTACTAAAGCCACCAACGGCCGAGAGGTAAAGTTGTAAGTTCTGCCCGGGGTTTGAATCTCTGCATGGGCGCTTTTATGGTTCCCCATATGTATGTAACGTAGATGCGAGCCAGTTTCCCTTAGAAAGTTCTCTTCGGCAGATAGCCCTTGCATGCTTTGCCATAACCAAATCAATCAAAAGTCAACCTTAGGCAAGTAATCCTTGCATGCTTTTTGCCGTACTGAATTAAGTACACAAAAAGGCTATCTTTTTACGCGAGAAATGGTCTTGAGAGATGTTAAAATTTTGTAAAAGATGAACAAATGATCGATAGAATATGAGGAAAAATGAAAATGAAAATTTACTAAATTAGATTGTCAAGGATTAATCGTTAAAATACCTAATTTTTCCGAAAACCATTTTTTCGCAGTAGAAACATAACGAAAAATTAAACCAGATAGCTTCCAATTTCTAACCGCTGGAAAATCATTTTCCAGTGTGTGCTTTGTGCTCGTATCACCTTACGAATGATTTACATTCCGAGCGAAAGTTCGTACCACGAATTTGCTCGTAAAATGTTACTTAGTTCGCTACGTATATCTGCTTACAATTTTCATGAGATAAGAGCTAAAATACTATCAAATAAACAATTTACAATACTAAAACAAATAAGGAATGCATTATAACTTTTAAATACAATACATTATAAATAAAGTGTGAAATAAAGAACTATTTTGCTATACAGTATTTACTTAGATTTAAGACATGTATGGATGGGATGGGATTGAGATGAGGCTGGATGGGATCGTGACGAGGTGGCTTTTTGAGAGTGGAAGGGACTGACGTGTTGTATGAAAATGTTTTCTTTTTATTTCAATGTAAATATGACGCTAGTGCTGTATGGATTGTTTACAGCAGTTTATTTTTTCCGACTCGAAACAAATTTCATTTTTGAAAATATTCGTATCTGCGAAAGTACGTAAAGTGGGGAGCATCTGCATATTATTTTCATCATTTTATATGCATGTATTTTCGCCAGCATATAAAAATGAATTTTGACACACTTGCTTCCTAAAATGATTCCCAAAATCACTATTATTATTATTACTATTGTTTTTTGCGTAAATAATATTAGAAAATTTAACTTGTAAACTCATACTTTTTCTAATCACAGCTCGTTTCGTTAGTCGAGAAGTTCAAGTAATAGTGACCTTTAGAGGTAGATAATATTTTAGTTATAATTTACAGATTTATACGAATATTATCCGAGAGTTGGGGAAAAATTGTTTATCTAAGTCTCAGTTCACATTATCCGCTAAAATTTAGATGAATTAAGAAAAAGTGCAAATTAAACGGAAATGAAAATAATAGTTATCCCTTCCTACATAGTTGCGTCAAAGTCATTGAAAGAGATGGAAAGGCGTGTGTTATCTGAAATATAAACTGATAACAAGGCACTTTTTAAAACTGGAATGTATTCCGCTTTCACTGTGCGAAAATGTCTCACCTGTGTATCGGGAAGAAACAGAAAACTGTCAGATTTAAAAAAAAAAAAAAAAAAAAAAAAATCCGGACGCATTAGATTCCTTCCGAACACCGTACATGTTTCTGTACACACTGTATGGAAAGAAAGATACCTAGTCTGATTCTGTGTAATATCCCTTTCCTTTTCCTTTACTCCATTTCCTCGCCTTATGCATTTGCTTTGCGTAAATTAGGATTAAAAAGAAAAAATATTGGGAATTATTCAAACATAATCAGACACTTATGATAGTATAATTTTATTTGCTTCAGAAATTGTTAATGTAATATAAAGTATTTAAAAGAGAATAAAAAGGTGTAAGGCGAATGTAGATTATTTGTGTAGTTTTCTAAACACCTTCAGTAAATTTCCGGATTCATGTTTTGTAAGCAATTCTTGGAAAGATTGCTTATACTTAACACATTCTGTATGAATGCACGACAAAAGTCCGCCAATGATAGTTGTTTATTACTCATTATATTTTGTATTATTATTTGATGCATAATTATCACTATAACGACGGCGGAAGTTATTAGTGGTTTACGGGAGTGATTTGTTTTTCTGCTGAGAAACTTTAACTCATTTGTTAAATAATAATATAGTAATAGCTTAATATAATAATATAGTAATAGCTTGTTACTAACATTATTTACATTCTAATATATAGAATTAGCTATATGCTCTGTTGGCCTGGGTAGTCGAGGATGCAAGGTCGAAATGCCATAATTTAATTATCATATTGCGTTTTTGAAAATAATTTCTTGCATTCAACGAAATTGATTAGGCTTCTCTTCCTCCTGTCTATCGTACACTTCGACACATCTGGATATAGTCAGAATTCGACAATATATAAATCACAATTATGACATTGTTAAGAAGTCGCTGAGGAACTTCTAAAACGGTCTTAAGAAATTTTAACTGATTTTTTAAAGATTTTCTCATTATATTCAAAATATTTTCTATAAAGGGGAGAAGTATTGTTCACTTAATATAGGTCGATTCGGTTACGTGAATTATTTTTTGAAGATTAAAATGTTTGTGATTTCTGCTTGATTAAACTATCTTTAGCAGCTGTCAGAATTGTGGGATTCCGTGAAATGATATCAGGATCCTCGAATCAAAATCCGTTTTATTATTGAATAATGAAAAATAAATGCACGCTAATGTTTAGGTATACGCCGAAAAACAGGTAATTTGAGACGAATCCTTGAACTTTTAACCGCCCGTCTAATTCATGATCGTTCATCGAAGTCTTCAGAAAACATGCGAAATTTCGATCACGATATCATAATTTTCGGATGTTTTTTGATGAAATAAAGCCTTTTTTAAGGGCTTTAAAAACGGGGAAAATTTTGCTGTATTGTAAGTTTATAAATAATTTTGTTTACATTTTGAACTTTTGTCTTTAAATCTAAAATTTTAAAAATACGTATTTTTAAAAGTCAGCTGTAATATTTTTAAAATTTTGCTGTATTGTAAGTTTATAAATAATTTTGTGTTTACATTTTGAACTTTTGTCTTTAAATCTAAAATTTTAAAAATACGTATTTTTAAAAGTCAGAATGCCGTTTTGGTGATTACAGAATGTTCTGAGCATGTTAAAGTATTCCGGATATTTTGTATAGAAAATGGGCTAGTGTGAGGGATTTGGCTTAGTTCTGGCTAAGATTCTTGATATTCTTCATGATTTTTGCCCTGTTTCTGTCTTTTCGAGATTTTCCGCATATTTGCCGACAAATTTCTGTTTCCTGGTATGGTTCCTTCACTCTAGGAAACCGAATGTATGTATTTATGTTTAAAAACTAGTGGGGCTCTTTACGGTCAAAAATTAAATTGTTAGTAATAAAATAACGGAATTATTCTATTTTTATATAATAGTCATCAGAGCTGTAAAAATTATTCAGGGAAATAAGTATTAGTCTATTAATGCCTATCTTATGCAGTTAATTTCCTTAAACTGCGTCTATACCTTGAAAGTTTAGCTTCTTTGCATACCTTGACGAAATGCATTAACAATATTCACCATCCTTTACCCGCAGACTTAACTGTTAGTAAGTTTTTCACTTTAATAGGTTAGCATTTTTATCTTTATTGCTTAGCAGAAATTTTATGCTTACAGTTTTTCAATATAAATGTTAGATGAGGTTGCTAGTTTACAATCTCTAGTACAATAAAGATGAATTTATTCATTTTTCTTGTTTTATTCATGAAATATTGTGTGAACATTTGAACAAAATATTTTGAATAATGTGTATGGACTTCAGTAATGAGTATCTGTTTTATGAATTGATTAAAACTTGCAGTAGAAGACGGAAGAATTGCACTAGCAGAATTTATGATTAAACTGCACACCCTCGATATCAACTGTCATTTAGCTACATTAAATTTAACATGACTGTTGAGAAGTGTATTTTTCCTATAAAATATCAAGTTCTAGACTTTCAAATGGCTTTATTTTAAAAAACAAACTGTGAATCTTAGATGTTATAGGGAAAACTTTTAAGGACAAGTTTAGGAAATATAAGCTGTGTATATTTAAAATTATTTGCGTAATCCAATTATGCATAAAAATATTTTATCAGAGCACTTCTTTAAAGAACAATAGATGATGATTATTTTTTACTGCATATAGAGAAATTATAAATTGCGATAGCTTTCTCGATGCTCCTTTTCTAGGAATAGCTACGATCTAGCGGCTAATTCCTCGAAACATAAGTAGTTCACTCCAAGTGCTGTTCTGCATGATTGTACGAGTTTTACTTGATGGGTTTTCTACATGCGAAATGGAAATACAGGCTTATTTACCTTATTGAATGCATCACAGAGGCGTTCTTCTCCATAAGCAGGTACTTTGACATAATTCAAATAATCCAGGAGTAGTTTAAAGTCAATCGAAATATCAAGATTATATTTAAATTCTGCGGAATAAAATTTACAAGCGGTGTATAAAAAATAATTGCAAGATTAATGACCGCATCGGAAAACACGTTTCCAGTTGTGGATGCAATCTTCGATCGCCGCATAGTCATTGCGAGAAGGAAAAACGAATTGTTCGAGGCTCGTTTAACACGTGATTCTCTACGTACCTCTTTGGTCTCATCAGTTTACAGTCAAGGGTTACTCTCCGAAAATGTAGTTTTCTATTCTGCCTTCATTGAATGAGGTCAAGGGTAGGAAGGAGCCGCGAAGACAGGGAAAGTGCGCCACCTATTTACTCCGCGTGGTTTTCGTTTGAGATAGTACTCAGTTAATAGTATCAATCGAGAAGTTTGTTGTTACATATTACATACTTCGCGATTTGTGGAGCGTTGGATTTTCATGCATTCAGCCAGCCATGCAGTATTCTGACCGTTACATGGTGATGCTGGATTAAATGTTACATCAGGTAAGAGTTTTTAAATTGTCTTCTCTATATGTTGGGGGGAAAAAAGAAAAAGTAATTAAAAAAAATTGAACCCGCATTCGATTTCAAGAGTTGACAATTGAATCGTTTACTTTCTATTGCTGAATTTATGGCATTAAAAATTAGGGCTGTAATCCAAAAGTTCCTATTAGCATTCTAAATCCAGTTATTTTTGTTTAGTTATGTTCTTATGATATTCTCGTTGAGAAATCATTTTAATTTTATCAGAATTATAAAAATTCCCAGTAGTGGTAAAATGAATGTATTTGAAAAGTTTTATTTTAAAAGGAATCATCGTACTCACTTTTTATGTGTATGCACATATATTCCATTCTGGAGTAAAATATTTCATATATATTTTTCCAAACTTTGAAGAAAAATTCGAATTTAAATCGATCTTTCAGTTCTTCAACAAATAGATAACGCAAAATTTATTTCCGTTCTTTTTTTGATATGGAAAACATAATCAGTTCAAGAGGGGTCTCTTGCATTTTCAATTTATGTAAAAAAATTTCGCGTTTTTAGTTCAGAGGAAAGAATTAACTAAATAATGTTTGGAGAAAGTACATGATTGAAAATATAAACAATAGTAGGGACGGAGATATTGTATATTTTCAATGTTAGAATTTTTATTATTAATAATTTCTTTAAAGAATTGATTGCATTTTTTGCACATATACTTTAATTACCTAATATCTTTACTTATCTGTCATATTTTGATCTCAACAACTTAATGTTATTTTTTGTAATTGTATTTTAGTGTATGAGAGAGATGTTGGGAAAGCTGTGATAAGTAGTGTGTAATTTAATATTTTTTGGCTTCGATTGTGGGAAGATGACAGAATGTGGTGTATTAAATTAACTGTATGAAAAGTCTGTTTTCTTCCCGCCCCGGGAAGGAATTTAAAAAAAAATTAAGGAGCATACTTGCTTGTTTAAAGTTTGCGCTGTTCCTAAAAATTTGTTTTATCGCAACAGTAAAATATGTGTTTAATTAATACTGACGTATTCAAATGCAATAAACTCTCGTTAACACGAATTTCAAGGGACCGTAAAACCAAGAGTTCATGTTAAAAAAATTTCGTGTAAACTGAGGACTGTAATGTTATTCTTGAAATAATTCATTCCACACCTTAACCGTCTACAGCATATAGTTACATAATAATACAATATGTTATGTATGTCGTCACTGAAAACATTACGGTACTACATTAATTACTGTAGCGCGAAAAAATGTACTGACACCAGCTTCATAGCCAACGGTACTCATGCTTTCTATAACTAGTGGTCATTTCGGATGTTGCAGCCAAACGTTCTAGTGTCCAAGGCGTGTAACATTTCCTGGCGGATGGGCGGAATGATACTGCCCTCCTTACTTTCTTCTGATGACATCTGTTACACCTTGGCACAAACCTGCTGGTATATCAGATTTCAGTGCACCATACACGAGAACGTTGTCATCTGCACTAACAGACTCCTCAAAACTCATCTTTGACACAAGATCGTGTTTATCGAGCAGTATTACTCATGCTGGCTAGCTTTTTGAGAATACAGTGGTGTTCTGAGGTTTTCAATTAAAGCGCTACGGAAAATTTCTGAACGGAGTCCTAGGAGAGAAATAAGATATGAAAAACATCGTGTTAAATGATAAGATCTAACGTGCCTCGTCATAACGAACTAAAAAACAATTCATAATTCATGCTAATCGAAATATGCGTTAACCGATAAAACTTCTATAAGTTTAAATACATCGCTGCCGGAACCGAAATTTTGTTCATGTCAACTGATTGTTCACCTTAATCGGTATCGTGTTTAGGGGGGTTTACTGTATTAGTATTATTCTTTTTTCAAACCAGACAAAAAAAGAAAAAAGTCTAACACGTTGAGCGCTGCGCCGAATTTGCTGTCCATTCTGTTCAGCCGGCAGCGAGTTAAGCCGTATTTTTGTTTAGAATGTTTCAATACATTTCATTAAAACTAAATTTGCTCACATAGAGACTATATTTATTTTTTTAACTTTAATACTGTCGGTCCCGCGGACCGAAGCTGGCAGACGAAAATTCCAGTGCCGGTCCCCAGGGCCCGACGCCGGCCACACAGAATCCGCTAGAATGGAATGCATTTTTGTATTGATGCAATACTGTATTCTTTGATCTACTTGTGATTGTCCCAGCGAAAAAAATTATTGATCTCCAACTCCTCCTTTAAAATTTTCTGGGGATGCTCATGTACTTTTTATGAAAAATTAGGTTCGATAGTTATAAACTCTACAATATAACCATTATGCAAGCTTATATGGCAAAGAAAAATTGGTATGAAGGGAATCTCGCAACAAGACCAACAAAATATTTAAGTTATTGAAGCGAAGACTGTAGCGCATTTGCAGCATGTTTGCTGTGAAGATGAAGTGAGAGTGGATTATGTATTGTACCTACTTCTTCATATTTTTCATGAAATGGTATTTTCCTTAAAACCGTTCATAAATATAACTAGAATACTAAGAATACATTCTCATGTTTACAATTTTTTTATTGTTGACAACTGTAATCGAACACTTCCTGGAAGTAATAAACTTTTTACTAGAGCTGATACATTTTTCGGCGAAACTGAGTAAATAGAAGGGCAATCACTCGCGTTTAAAAATCCGGCATGTCTAATAAACTATATAATACCTCTCTACAGAATACTTTAACTTCTTTCAGACAGAGTATAGTTGTTTTTATCGAATTGAATTTATCTTTTCGAATAATAGAGCTAAAATGAAAAGCTCAAAAGTATAAGAAATTTTTAAATTAGACGCCGATTGCTCATTATTGCTGTGTTCTATTGTATGCCTACATTCTTTTAATACAGGAATAAAATAATAATTAAACGAACCTCGTTGACAAAAGCGGCCAAATTTATTGCTTTTTTTATCTTACTCAACTTTTGTCTATGATATTCATATCGATGTCAAGAAAATTATTCCATTTGTGGCACGTTCAGATGCTCAGGTAAGTCAGTTCATTCTTTTATTATCGAGAAAATGAATCATAATCACATTTTATAGCTATTACAAGCGACAAATCACTTGCAATTAAGAGATAACTTACATTCTTTGTTCTTTGTTGAAACCGAAAATTTCAAATTAATTTTATTAAAATAGAAATGTTTTTTATATTAATGTTATGAACGTTTTTTCTATGAGATAATTTTATATCAGGATCAATTCAGTATGTTTCTAATATTGGCAGTACTAAGGAGTTATGTATTGAAATTGTCTTCCGGTTTCTAAAGGAGGTTATATATAGGTTGATCGTGCATACTATTTTCTGGATATATCCCGCTTTCGTTTGATGAAAATGACAATTTTATCCCGTTTTTAACTAAAAACTATTTATTCTTTTATTAAGTGATCATAAGTTACTCTAAAAAACCAGGTTAACTATGGAATTAGATTGTTCGAAACGTTCGATTAGGACTTATATCGGAATTCTAAAGAATTACATAAATTGTGAAGCAGTTGAATGCATGGGTTGAAGAGAGCATCCCTCTATTGGATAAATAGGCTCAGAATTTTTCTGAAATGTGAGTGAAAATGTGGATGTTATGTTAAAAAGTATTTTTGGCCAATGGTGTGTCTGTGTAATTATGGGAAACCATCGAGTTCTATCTGCCTAAGGGGAGGACTTTCTAAGGGAAACTGACTCGTATACACGTTACGCATGGGGAAAACCACGAAAACGGCCATGTAGTGAGCCCGTTCGCGGGATTCGAACCTTGGACCGAACTACCAGTATTCAGCGACTTTACCGCTCGGCCCCTGGTGGGCGGTAATGTTAAAAGTAAAGTGCCAAATGCGCCACTCGTAAGTTTGAAGTTGAAAGTTGAGTGAAAGTAGATATTCGCTGAATGAAACTTAAAAACAAGGTTCTAAACTAAAGGAAACAATCTTGCAATAAATAAATAAAGTGAGAGTATGGAAAATAGTCAGTACCTTAAAATATAATCACGAATCTTTGGTGTTCCAGTGAGTAATAGAATTTCTAACAAACTAAAGAGCCACTGATCAAGGTAATCAGAGGATATCACCTCTCATTAGAGGTAATCTAGAGGATATCGTCTTTAGTAAGTGTGTTTGAATTTTTATTTTTGAGTACTATTATTAAAGAATAATTGTAAGTTCAACATATACATCATAAAAAATATTTGTCATGTTTCTATCACATTTGGCACGATTAACTTTCATCCGCTTTGTGCGATTGACGTATAATTGATTAACGCCAGTTGTGTAACTGAAAAGTCATTATTTCCAAAGAGGATGGCAGAAAGGAAACAGTAGTTGACTGTGAGATGGCCACGACCACTTACTAAATTTTTAAAAAATGCTAATTTTTTACTTTAATATGTAGCAGTGATACCCACAGCATGTTTATTGTGCGTTTAATTTTTAGTTTATAGAACACATGTTACTGAATGTCATGCTGCTGTTTAATATTTTGTCATTGTATTTTGCTGTTATTAGTAATATAAATTAGTAATTCAACTTGTAATAAATATTTCATTGTGACCACGATGATTTTATCCATTTTAGCCAAAACAGTATGACTGAAGTGAAAGTATTATATGACCGATAGTAATACCGTCTTTTTCCGAAAATAAGACGCTGTCTTACTTTCTTTTTTGGTCCAAAATACGCGCTAGGGCTTATTTTCGGGGAAGGGCAAAAATAAAAGTATATTATATATTTTTATTTAATATTTATTTTACACAGAATACAGAAATTTAAATTTATTCAATTACAGTCATGTCATCTTCTTCTGGAACATCGTCATAAATAAAATTCTGAATTATATTCTGATTTTCTTCTAAATCCATTTCCTGTTGAATCATTGGTCCGAATCTCTCATGTCTTGCGATGTAACTATCGTTAAATGAATACTTCTTGTCTAAGTAGCCTGTTCGTAGTGCATTGGAAACATCACTATCAGTTATTTTGTCCC